TATATTAGTTGAGTTTCTACCTTGCTCATTAGATCTGGCCAGGAGATAAAATTATGCCATTGATTCTGTTATCCATCACTGCTGTAAATGTGTCTTTAACTACATTGCAGATACTATAAATCTTGAAGCCAACCTACTGTTGCTGTGCTGTTTTGTGTTTTTGTTTTGTTGTGGGTAAATCACCACAAGTTAGCTTTGATTCGACAACTTATTAAGAAATTTCACAGAAAATCAAATACTGAAATGATGATTTAAACTTTATTGCACATACCAACCAAAATAAGACCCTCATTCAGATTCCTAACACTGACAGCATTTTGCCTTCATGACAATGTTTTCAACACCTATGGGCAACTTAGAAATGCCACAAATTGCACAATCCTTTGATGAACAAGTAGGAAATGACTCCAGTGTCAGATTTACATGGGCTTGCAGCCTTATCATCATCACCTTCCATAATTCATTTGAAACATTCGTTGAAAGTCTTTGCTGGCTTCTTTAATGGATCATCCAATGAGTAGCTGAGTCAAAACACATGCAGGGTCCTGTATTGATCCCAGCTGTCTGCTGAGTTAATTGATCACAACCCAGATGATGTTAGGCCACTTCAGTTGGTCTCTGCATGCACTACTTAGAGAAGGAAAATATGTCTAGTCTTTCAGCGTCCTCTGTAGGAAGTGTGCATGTTTGAGAAGGAACATTGGATTTACTGGTACTATCTGTCATACTAAAATACTTTTCTAAAATTCAGTGTTACTTTGGCAAGACATTTTTCCCTAGCAGGATCTCAGTACCTTTAGGAGTGGAGAATAGGAAACAAATGTTATAAAGAAAAATTGTTCAGGGCGCATTTTACTTTAGATAGCATGTAATGAGGTATGCTTCTGTAAATTTTGTATAACCCTTTGTAATTATCCACTTCATCTAATAGATTACTGCTGTATTTGTAAAAGTAATTACCTATCATTTGAACTGCTTTATCTAGTGTAGTAATACTAGTGACATTTAATATCAAGGAGGGAATAAATCAAGATCCTTGTAAAGTCCACCTTTATTTATTCCAGAGAAAAATGCATCCATCCTAATGATTTTAAGTACGTTATCAATCAAAGTTATCAAAGTTACCAAAGTATGACTCGGTTACATGTTTATGAAGGTCAAAAGCTCCTTACAAGAAAGTAGATTATGTGGAAGGTATGAAGCAGAGTAATGCACACCTCTGAGCAAGTTCAGGAGGAATTAATGTGGTAGAAAATGCCACTGCTGTAAAAGGCATCAGTCTGTGAGGCGTTCTCACACCCATTTGGGGAAACTATGTTTTCCTGGGATTTCTATAATTCTTCTACACAGGTACGCAAAGCAGAGCTCATATGAAATTCATTCTCAGGGTCATTAAAGTTGTAGATTCTGATTCAGTAAAATTTTCAAGTTTATCTGGTCTAGAGCCAAGATGATCATAAACTAGTCATTCTTTTGACAGTGACTTAATCCATATTGGATCTTATACTATTATTGACATAGTTACGTAGCAAAGAGGATCTCTGAAATGTTCAATTTAAAACTCCAGATGTTTCCTTACTGTCATTGTTCTCAATACCCAGTTAACCAAATCTTGATTTTAAAATTCTCATCCTTGTTTCAAATCCCTACATGGCCTTAGCTGATCCTATCTGTGCAAACTCCTTGAGCTCACAATCTTCCAGCTTCTTCCTCCAATTTGTCTTCCTCCAATTTTGGTCTGTTATGTTCCCTCAGTTTTAATTGTTGCACCATTGGTGGCCATACCTTAACTGGCCTGGAGCTCTGGAATTCTCTCTAAACCTATCTGTTTACCTTACTTTCCCCTTCGATCAGCTTTTGGTACCTACCCTAATATTTCTTACATGGCTAAGTGTCAAATTTTGTTTGATTGTGCTCCAGTGATGCGATTTGGGATGTTTGCCTGTGTAAAAGGCAGTGTATAGCTGCAGTTGTTGTTGCTGTCGCTCACAAACAATTGCAATTTTAGTCTTAGCTGAATTTGAAAAGTAATAGTCAACTGATTTGATCCAAAGATAGTAATGTTTCTTGTGTAGCAAGAGTGATTGACTGAGAAATAACCAGGGTTATGCCCAACTTGCCTGTGTGCTTTTTTGGTATGAAATGAATCTCTCAGACTGGAGAAATGAAGATGGAAGGCTTTACTTTGATAATGCAGTTGCACTTACTTATAGTCATAATGAACTATAGAGGATTTATTTTTTAATTTTAATATTTTAAAACTCTGATGTAAGCTACAGATGATGGGCTAAAGTAGCATTCTTAGGGGATTTAATGTATGAGCTGGTTGGTGGGTTTTTGTGTAATCTGATGCTGTGGTTGCTTCATTCGCTGAACTGGTTCATTAGTTCGCAGACATTTCATTGCCTTGCTGGGTAACATCATCAGTGCAGCCTCTGATGAAGCGCTGTTGTGTTTTCCCACCTGGTATTTAAACTCTGGGGTCCATTGGAATTGATTACATCGTTTCTGGTTTTCCTTTGCAGCGGTGTATATATAGGATCTAGTTCTATGTGTTTGTTGATGGCCTTCTTAGTGGAGAACCAGGCCTCTAGAAATTCCCGTGCTTGTCTCTGTTTGGCCTGTCCTAGGATCCTGGTGTTGTCCCAGTCAAACTGGTGGTTCTCCTTATCCATGTGAATGGAAACGAGTGAGTATTGGTCATGTCTTTTTGTTGCTAGTTAGTGTTCATGTATTCCTGTGGCCAGTTTGCTTCCTATCTGTTCAATGTAATGTTTGACACAGTCTTTGCATGGAATGTTGTATATCACGTTGGTTCTGCCCATAATTGGTAACGGGGTCTTTGGTTTGAGGCGGGAAAACACAACAGCGCTTCACCGGAGGCTGCACTGATGATGTTACCCAGCAGGGTAATGAAAAGTCTGCGAACTAACAAACCAGCTCAGCGAGCGCACCAACCACAGCATCAGATTACACAAAAACCCACCATTCAGCTCACACATTAAATCCCCACTGAAAAGGTCCTGACCCGAAACGTCAACTTTCCTGCTCCGCTGATGCTGCCTGGCCTGCCGTGTTCCTCCAGCTCCACACTGTGTTATCTCTGACTCCAGCATCTGCAGTTCTTGCTATCTCTGGAAGTGGTGAAATGCTGCTTCCCCAATCACAGGGTGGCTCTCTTCCATGCATGCTGTTGACAAGCTCATTTGTGAGCGTGGGACAGAAGCAACCTCTGAATGTCGGAGCAGCAAGCAGTTAGGTAAGCAATAATGGTAAGTCTGCTGCAGGGCGAGTGTAGGTAAAAGGTAGAAGGCAGTTGCTAAAGGGTATGTGGAGGGAGAAGGGGGCTGCAAAAGGGGACTGGGCAGGAGTGGCAAGCTGCAAGAGTGTTAAGGGAGTGATGGAGGTTGCAAGAGAAACAGTGGGTGGTCTACAATGGAGAGTGAACAATTGTTAACTTGTCACCAATGAGACATTCAGTTAACTCTAATCCAATTGTACTTTAAAACAATGAGGTAGTGAATTCTTTGCAAATAAATGTGGAGTCTCTAGTTTAAGACTGCATATGTTCAGGAGTTACTGTGCTTGGGAAAAGTTATATTGTATACTAATGTAATGAACATTGTTAATTATTAAATTTAAGTCTGGGATTGAGATCTGAGATACAGTATAAACGGTTGTAAGTGCCTAGAAAAATGTTCCAGTTTTGTGCACGTGATGATGGAATCGCATTAGCTGTAACATCAAGAAAGTGTATTTTGTGTGATCGCTTTTTGTATGTGGAAGGGCTTGAGCATTATTTTGGAAATAAAATTTTTGTGCTAACCTTGTTGTCTTGTAAAGATTGTAGTGTCTGGGAAGTTAATGCTTTCCTGTGCTGTGGCTTTAAATTTAATGGAGAATTGATTATTATTGAGGATATTGATGAATCATTACAATTCTACTTTTCTGTGTGTCAAAATGCAGCATACGTCAAGACAAATACAGAGGTATTGTTACTAACTGGCTGACTCACCTCATTTATTCGGTGAGAATGAAAATGTAGCCCTGGAAAATCAAAAAGTAACCCTCAAAATGCCTGAAAAGAAATCCTTGAAAAACACATCTTATCTGCTGCATCACATATTTTGCATTTAATACTTTGGAATAAAGGTTTTGGGGGTGAATTTAATTACCAATAGGAGAGTGGGAGTGTAAATGCATGGCAGTGAATAAGCACTGTTTTTGCATCCTGTTTGAAGTTCTGTTTCCCTCAACTAATACCTGTACATGCTAAAGTTAGATATCACCTCTAAATAAAAAATTGGTAGGGCAACAGGCCAACAACCATTGAGGATGATGTAAAAATATTATAACAAAGAGAGAAAGATGAGTGAAAAGTTATGAAATCTGTAAAGGTTAGAAAAATAGAGATGCAAAGGTCAGTTTTATTACTCAGGTACGGCGCAGAAATCCTACTATGACGCATGTAATGTATTATCAATGGGATCTTAAGATATTTGGCAAAAGAACCAGAGGAGGGAGATAAGATAAGATAAGATAAGCAGGATTTGTTTTACACAATGAGTTGCTATGATGCACAGCCTGCAAGAATGTTCGGAACAGATTCAATAGTATCTTTGAAAGAAAGTAATTGAACGTATACCTGGAAAGTCATTTTCCAGGCTATGGGAAAAGGAGTATGTCTAATTGAACAGCTCTTTCAAAGAACAAGCATAAGCACCGTAGGTTAAATGACATCCTTTGTGTTGTAAATTCTGTGGGAATTTGTTTTTTAATCCTAAAAATGGGGCAGGTTTGATTAGGTGGGATTCTTTTTAAAAGCAACTCGAATTCACTTTTAATTCCTGATGCATTTACGAAGTGTCTTGATCATTTTCTGACGTTAACAGTGCTTGCTGTAATTGCTGTTTAATATCATAATGTTAAATTTGTATTTGACAAATCAAATTACTTGAATGCAGCATATTAATTTTCACTTCTTTTAATTTTTTTTTCAGCGTGAAGATGGTGCTGTTGTGGACACTGGGTGATATCTTTAAAACAGCCTACTTCATTATTAATGCAACTCCAGTACAATTCTGGATTTGTGGAACTGTTCAGATTTGCATTGACATTGCAATTTTCTTTCAGGTTTTCACTTATGGACAAGGAGAGCATGAGAAATATATCTAATAAGATTGCATAGTGACAGAGAATGACTGCCAGGGTGGTATAATACTATGCACAATGTCGCTTTAATATATTTTTCTTCCCATTTCTATGGAAGAATATCCTGTGCTTTAACAGTATTGAAAGTATCTAAAGTGCCTTAATAGAAAAAAAAATTCTGCCATAACTTATTTCCTGCAGGATGCATTCTGTTGCTGTCCAAAATCTCCAAAACATGAAGCAAATTGTACTTCAAACATGAATGGGGAAGAGGTGTCTTTAAAATCTCACCATTTAGCTATCAGTACAATGAGGCCAACAAGAACAGAGAGGCATTCAGCCTTGTTAATTGTGCAGTAAGGTCTGACAAGATGAATGCTGCTGGAAAACAAGAAAAATCTCCTCACGCCTTAATATAAACTAAACTTGTATTATTGACTAAGTTTTATGTACAGGCTGCTGGTGGGAACTATACTCACCGCGAATACATCGCTTGTCATTTTCCACTATGCACTGGTGGTGGGTTCAGTTCGTGCATTGTCAGAGCATAATCAGAAAGTTATTTCCTTTCTAATCCTTTAATAGTTCTCGCACGAATTACTAAAATCTAAACAGAGTTGCTTTATTTATAGCATTTATAGCGTTTCATGTCTCCTGTTTAAAGACAATATTTTAAAACAAGTTTCATCTAAACGAATTGGAAATTTTAAAAATACAGTGCATATTTGGAGCCTAAATCAATGAGAAAATATTCTTCAATGTAATCTTTTCAAGAATCAGTTCCAGTATGTTATTGCATGCTATTGTCCATTTGAAACACTGAAAATAGTCCTGTTTGATGTCCCCTCCAAAGTTTTATTCTATTTCTACTTTCTTTTGTATTTCACACTGTTACATTGTCTTCTTTAAAAAATCAATTATGCAGCTTTATTCTTAGCCTGTTCAACCAATTGGTACAGCAACTAAACATAAAATTTAATTTGCCAAAACATAAATGCACAGTGAGGTCTATGAGTGAATAATTGGGGTAGTAACTTTGAATAATGAGTGTCATAAAGATGGGCATTATTGCTGAAAACAGTTCCAATTCTAAAACATATTTTTCCTGGAAAAGTATTTTAAAAGATATTTCCAGCTTAGTCAGATATTTTTTAAGCACCTTAAAAGGAAAATAAAGCTTTCTCTTGCCAAACTGTTAAGATAACATAAAGATATTTCAGTCATAAAAAGCTAACTTTTATTTAGATACTATTTAACAGTCCAACATAAATACATTCATTGTACCACTCATGGCTCAAAAATATTCTGCACATTGTGCCTCCAGCAATGCTTCAGTCATTAGATCCAAAGTTTGTTCTCTTTTGTAGAGTGTAAATTCTTTGTCCTTCTGGAGATGGGATTTAGGGAAATATTTTTCTTTTATGATCAAAGGTGACTGGGTGCCTGCAGTGCGCAGAAAGGATGTCAGTGAGACTGCGCTGCCTTCCCACATTTGCCAGTGTGAGAATGAGGTCAATGGAAGCCTTAGCCTCATTGAAATGCTATACTTGCTAGGCTCAGGAGGGCTATAGATTGACCTAAGAGCTGAGCTGGCATGTCGGATCAGGTCAGTTTGGTGAGGCGAGGTAGATTCATGATTCAGAGATGGGTCTCAAATGGGGCAGGAAGGCAGCTGGTGGCAGATGCAGGAGGAAGACTCCTGCTGCATGGAAGTAACTCTGGTTCCTGGATTTGTTTTGTGAACTACTACCAGGGGTCCCCAAAGAACTGCACTGATTAGGCTTCACAGCACCCTCTACAAGTGGATGTAGTGCAAAGCTAAAAGTTGCCATTCAGTCCCAGAGCCAGCCATTTCTCATACTCATGCATTCTCCTGCCTGTTTCAGGTGGGCAGCATACTCACACAATAGGTGGCGCACCTGAAAATTCCTTTGAGAAGATATCATGGGTCACTCACAGCCAATTCCCACCCCCAACCTACAAACTGATTTTCAATTGCTGGACATTTCTTTGTCCAGCAAATAAAGGGTAGACAACAATTGAGATTCAGCCTCAATATTTCATAACAAAGGGCTTTCAAGGTTATAAATGAGCATTGTTTCTTTATTTTGCTTCTAATACTCATTTTAAGTTGTCAGCAAAAATTAGAATAAAAATAATACAATAAAAGTTTAACAAAACACCAGAACTACATTAGCACATTAATACTGTGGCAATGGGAACTGGTTAGATGCTGGGAATTTTGCAGCAAGTAACTCAGTAACTTAATTCCCGAAGCCTATCCAAGGTATGAGTTCAGCGTGGGATGAGGCATCCCCTACTTGCCTGGATGAGTGCAACACCAACAGCATTCAATAGCTCTACATATTCAGGACAAAGCAGTCCACTTGGTTGGCACCCCCAACCACCATCAACATTTTCTCCCTCTACCACCAAAGCACAGTGGCAGCAATGCATACCATCTACAAGATGCATGGTAGCAACTCACTCAGGTCCAGAGATAGTAGGTTCCAAACCGACGATCTCTACCACCTAGAAGGATAAGGGAAGCAGATACATGGGAACACCACCATCTGCAAGGTCCCTGCCAAACCAGACACCATGCTAGCTTGGAACTTTGTCACTGTTCCTTCACTGTCACTGGGTCAAAATCCTGGAACTTCCTGTCTAACAGCACTGTGGGTATTACTACATCACATAGACTGCAGCAGTTCAAAAAGGCAACTCACTCCTACCTGCTCAATGGCAGTTAGGGATAGGCAATAAATGCTGACCTAGCCATCAATACCAACATCCAGTGAACGAATTAAATAGAAATACTCACTTTGTCAGCCATTAGCTGCAGTGAGAGAAATAGAGTTAACTTTTTAGGCCAATTATCTTTCATTAGAACTCAGACTCTATGGTATTTTGCTTTTCTATTAAAGAAAATACTGTCGCTAATTTATTTTATCAGTATAAGCACATTTCCCTTTGTCTTTACTTTTAACAGGGCACAGTACACTATATAGACTTCAATCACCTGATCAAAGTATTGATAAGAAGTTCATTCTAATTATGATCTCCTACAACATTTTACTGTTTGAGAATCTACTTCAATCTTACTCATTGGCCAGGTGCTCTATAATGTCATGTTGCATCAATCTGAAAATATAATATTTTTTTAACTTCTTTCCATAACTGATCAATTCCTTTACTCCAGGTGATGAAATACTGGATTTTCTTAGCTGTTTCACCAAATTATCATTGTACCTTTGGAAAGAGTCTGATGGATCAGTTTGGAAAATGACTGACATCTGGGAAATCCCCCCTTTAAAGGCTGGCCCCTTCCCAACCAACTATTTTCCAGCAGGCACATTTGTGAATGGGGAGTCAATGTATTGTAAGTTCCTCATTCCAAATTCAACCTGGATGTGAGTAGCCCAGTTATATGAGGCATACCAACCTGCAGATTGGCAGAGATGAGGATCACCAGAGGAACTAGCCTCAAGAGACAACCTGAACCCATGAAAGTGGTGTGATTACATGGTCTCTCTGAAGTCCAAGACCATCATTTCCGAATGAAGTTCAGGCCTGGGCTTCATAACCATCCCTTCTTCCTACTTTCCAGATGGAAGTTAGACAATTGAACATCCTGCAACATGGGACAGGCTGGTGCCAGACACATGGCCATAATGGAGTTGGTGCTCACTGACTTTACCAACCTCCAACTTACCACTGCACTGTGACAGTGTTAGTGCTACACCGTGCCAATGGTGAAATACCAAAGCAATTACTGCGATTGCAACCTTTGTAATTTCGGGGCTTTTACATAGGGTTTTCATTTATTTTTGTCTATAACGTTTTGCACAAATGTTTAAAAATTGTATGCTTCCAAAATATATTTAAGTTACATAAATATAGCAGACTCTACTAGTGCAATGCAAAAATTAACGTCAGATGGTTTGTGCATAGACAATTATGAGTGGTGAAGTTTTTCCTCACCATTCAGAAAGGTTTGATTTCTTTTTATGCTGTTACAGAATGTACTGCTACTGTGATTCTCAGGTTCGGCTTCAGTGAGCTCCAGCAGGGCTGGGTGACTTTATATTACATAATTAATTATGTTTTGTGTACATGAGTCATACACTGACAGTGAATTTACCTGAGATGTCTATGCCAATTATTGTCTTATACGTTGACTTTGGACCGTTACCTAATACATGCAAGTATAGATGAAAATGATGTTGCAATAACAATAGAAAAAATTTTGTATATTGATGTGCTGTGTCATTGATTGACATTAATCCGTCATTTCCTTTGCCAAAGCCTTTTAATAATTTAAGGATGTTGATCCTCTTTGAATGTTTTAATGTACAGATTCTCACAATCCGCAGAAACAGTTTTCTTGTGTAATTCCTGTCAGTATAATCTGAAACCCGTTGGTTTTATCCTTTTAAATGTCTACCATCACTGCAGGACTGATTTCACTACACATTCTGAAAGTGTAGGCAGGTGCTTAAAAAAAACATAAATTAGAATGCCTAGATTTAATATAGCAGCATAACATTTTAGTTCAGCTATTCATTCATATATGCATGACAGAGTTTTATGTTCAGCTGCTTGATAATATTTAAGATGCTTTAATGCAGAACAAGTATTCTTTGCAGGCATTTCTGATGCAATATACAATTCATAGTGATTGAACAAGCTTGTACATATTTCTACTGGATACCTCAGTGAATTTAAGGCAGTAACTACTCTCAGGTTTTTGGTTATTCTGACAGAAATAGCACAAGAGGTTAAGCTGAACATTTGCATTTATGCCAAGAGAAATATCTTGCACAACTGAAACTTATTGTCTAAATAAAAACCAAAAGAACTGCGGATGCTGTAAATCAGGAACAAAAACAAAGTTGCTGGAAAAGCTCAGCAGGTCTGGCAGCATCTGTGGAGGAGAAAACAGAGTTAACGTTTCGGGTCCGGTGACCCTTCCTCAGAACTGAGCTTTTCCAGCAACTTTGTTTTTGAAAATTATCGTCAGCTATTTGAATCTGAGTGGCTGAGCTTCACTTCTAGTTTCTGTCGATGAAATTCTCTGCCATTTCATTACTTGGAACTTTTATGGAGAATTTCAGATGCTTAGTTAATCATCACTTGCTGAATCAGGATTGCCAGAACACACAGTTGGCAATGGAAAATCTGAGACTTCCTCAAAGATGTCCAATTTTGCTTTGTGTGCTGCCAGTGTCACTGATGTCTCATCTGTGAGATATCTGTTAAGTTTCTAGTTGACTCCAGTTGGATTCTATTATACCAAATGTTGTATGCAACAGAACCAATGAGCTTTTCCCTGGGTTATGTCTCACAGTTCAATGAATGTTGCTCAGTAGAACGCAGGAGATGGTATTGTGAAGATGCCAGCTTCGCCTGCCTGGCCAGATCAGCTGATCATGTAATTGAGCTACAATGTTATAAATCCTATCTGTTGAAGCTCATGCTAAGATTCTTAGAATTTCTGCAGATGTGTGCATAAATATTGTAAATGATTTGATATTGATCTATGCAAGCAACTACCTTTGTTTCTTTTGAATCTTATGTGTCAAACGTAACTTTTAATAATGTTTATATAAACCAACCTGTTTACTTTCAAATACTGTTTTGTAAAGAAGAAAGAAATTGTGTTCAGACAAGTAAATGTTATTGTGCAAAATAGTAGGAGAATGTTGCATTTGATGCCATGCTTGATATTCCATTGTTAATATGGAGAACAATATTGGATTGCTGCACTAAAACACTTTGTAAAAATATAGATCTTTGTTCATACTAATGATTCATTAATTTTAAGTTTTATAAAAGCAATTTAACTGTAATATATGAGTTAAGTTAAAGTTAATAATACTTTGAATTGAAATAGAACTCTGAATGCGTTCATTTTGGACTCGATGCATGAAACATAGGGAGTTAAAAGAAATTTTTTTGAAAATTGCAACCTGCTGATTTTTGTGGAGAATGGCAGCTCATAAATTTGGTGCTCCTGGCCCATTTATCTGATTTTAGATATTAAAAAAATCCAAGGGCCAAGCATCCACTGCAACGCAGGCTGCCTCGTTGAGCAGTGGGGAGCTAATAATAACATAAGAAATAGGAGCAGGACTAGGCCATTTAGCCCCTGAAGCCTACCTGCCATTTAACAAGATCATGGCTGATCTGCCCCAGGTCTTTTGTACCACTTCCACTTAGCCGTCAACTCCCTGTTATTTCAAAAATGTATCATTTCCTCTCTAAATCCTTTTAGCAATCTAGTGTCTACAACTTTCGAGGGTATGGAATTCCAGGCTTTTCATTTCAGTTTTAAAGGAGATCTTTACATTCTGCACCTAATGTGTCGAAGTTCAAGATTCCCCTACTAATGGAAAAATTTTCTCAACATCTGTCCTGTCAAGCTCGCTCAGAATCTTGTATGTTTCGATAAGATCATCGCTCATTCTTCTAAACACTAATGAATAACAGCCTAACTTTTTAATAAATTATGTATCCAGCTGTCTGTTCTTAAGCACAGTCTGCCCCAGGTGTATTGAGCTATAACTTAAACTATTAAACTAATGTTTGCTGACTGTTATTGCTGTGATTCAAAACAAGGAAAAGGAGGTTTTAATGGTAGAGGTAGACAGGAGGAGAAATACTATAATGCCTCTGCAGCCTAGGAAATTTCAAGGAATTTAAGAGAGGTTGGAGGCAGGAAATAGAGTTGAGGTTCTGGCAACTCTATCACAATAAATCTAATGAGCTTGCATAGGTGGTCAAGTTTGGTGAGTGCATACTTATATGGCATTTCTTACCTATCACTCCAACAACTTCTCAAGCTGGTCAATGCATGACAAGAGTTCAGGTTTTAAGACCTTTACTGTAACAAAAATGTGAAGTAATGTAAGATTACTTCGTAGGCAATGAATGCACCCAGTGATATACAGGGTAACCTTCATGCAAGTCTTAATATGACTGTTAACCCTATGATGCATACATATATTTTACAGCCTGCTTCTACAGGATTACCATCTTCTCCATAAAATGGATAGCCAATCCTTTTACCCACCTAACCATGGGAAATTTCCCAACAGCAGGATTGTGTCAGGATGCCAGTCCTCCCAGTTTTACAGGTAGCTTGCCTACAAACACATCTCCACAGAACTGAAAAAAACAAGCTTGAGTGGTGCCACAAATTAAAATTTGCACTGGAGTCTGATAAATTTAGTACATTATAATTTTTCCAAATGGTAATTCTATTAATCTGACAGAACCTTTTTTCAATAAGAATTATATCATTCACATCCAGGCCGGACATGTGTATAATTGAAGCTACTCGAAATTCAGATCTAAGGACAGCTCCAGCATGAGACCCTGTAATTAAATTATCCCCAACCAGTTGTACAAACATACCCCACAGTGTTTCTGATTTTCATGCAGAACATTCTGTTACCAACTGGCAGGAGCAAACCAGGATTTGCTTGCAGTGAAATACCAAGTACCAAATAAATATGTAAAACGTCTGGTGGTGAGATGAAAGAACAGTATTAAAGAAATAAATAATATGAATAAATAAATCTCACAGCTCTTGCCAGTTGACTGATCTCAGTATTAACCTCCACAGCACTTTTCCAAAATGCACAGCTCCTTGAAATTGTTGGCATTGTCTTCAAAATGTCTCAATTACCTTCATGTTGGAATATTGTTGTGTCAACAAGCTCCTTTTTCTGGGTATGTGGGCTAGTTTCTTCTGGAACAATATTTTGTTATGATCCTAGCTGATGCCATTATCGGACAAGTTGGATCCCAGACAGGATCCCGTCTAATGGATCATAATTTTATTTGTTTTGATTTCAACAAAATGGTCTCTCACTGAAATAGAAGCATGCATTGCCACAGATTTTATTTCAACATTGAAAAGGAAGTTTATTCCAAAAGAAACAATCATAGAACTATCCAAACTACTTGTAATATGAATTAAAATGTTTTAAACATACAATAAAAGTATAATTCCATTAATCCTAAAGTAATCCTTTGTAAATTGAAAAGAAACAATATAGCTTTTGCACAGTACACCACTAGTAAAGTTCTCAAGACACCATTTGTACAATACTCACACTGGAATCCCTGTAACTAACACTTTGGTAGGTTTAAAATCACTTGGGATTTCAATTGCTAAACTGAAGCTGCAATAGCTTCTTCCTGGAGCTATCATACACAAGGTTATCTGCATTTATCTGAAAAAAATATTTATGAGTCTCTCTGATCTGGAATCAAGACTAACCGTTCACTCTAAAGGACCTAACTCACTACATCCTTCGCAGAACTGCTGTGTGCAACCATCCTGTTCCAAGCTCATCTCAAGACTGTTACCCAAAGTGAAACTAAAATTCTCCCATTTATAAGTCTTTCCCTTAAGCTCAAAAAATTCTAAACCTCTCCAACAAACTTTTGAGGTCCTATTATTTAGCATGCTGAGTAATACATTATCTAAAATCAACAAAAGTCCACCAGTACATAAAGCCATTCAGTCTATAGCCAGGCTTCATAATTATTTTTTTAATTTTCCACAGATACAGAAATATTTACAAGTCAACAATTAACATCAGATCAACAGAAAAAGCCACCGGTTACTAACTGAAAAACCAGATCATAGATTTTTTTAACAAATAAATAATTTTATATATTAAGAAATGAGGGCTTTGCTGGCTAGGCTAGCATTTCTTGCCCATCCCTAATATCCCAGAGGGCAGTTAGGAGCCAACCACATTGCTGTGAATCTGGAGTCGCATGTAACATAGAAACATAGAAAATACGTGCAGGAGTAGGACATTTGGCCCTTTGAGCCTGCACCACCATTTAATATGATCATGGCTGATCATGCAACTTCAGTATCCCACTTTCATTTTCTCTCCATAACCCTTGATCCCTTTAGCTGCAAGGACCACGTCCAGCTCTCTCTTGAATAAATCTAACAAACTGGCCCCATCAACTTTCTGTGGTAGAGAAGTCCGCAGGTTCGCAACTCTCCAAGTGAAGAAATTCTTCCTCATCTCAGTCCTGAATGGCTTACCCCTTATTCTTAGACTGTGACCCCCTAGTTCTGCACTTCCCCAACATTGGGAACATTCTTCCCACATCTAGCCTGTCCAGTCCCATCAGGATTTTATATGTTTCTGTGAGATTGCCCCTCATTTTTCTAAATTCCAGCAAGTACAAGCCCAGTCAATCCAATCTTTCTTCAAATGTCAGTCCTGCCATCTCAGACCAGGTAAGAATGGCAGTTTCCTTCCCTAAAAAGATATTAATGGACCAGATGGGTTTTTCCTGACAATCAACAAAAGATACATAGTCATCAGTACACTCTTAATTCGAGATATTTCATTGAATTCACATTCCACCATTTGCCATGGGTAGGATTCAAATCCGGGTCTCTGGATTAACAGCCCAGCGATTATACCACGAGGCTATCTCTTCCCCATAGGCAGCAACTGCATGTACCCCACATGCACATATGTTGGCATCTGACACATGCCAGTCTCGCTGCACCCTCATTGCACATTTCCAAACAATTTACAATATGTTTTATGCGCCCATGCTGCATTTTGGAGCACACTGTGAGGCATCCGGTTCACAAACTCGACAGTCTGCACCTCAGAGCTGCTGGCTTGTTGTCTTAGGGCTCACTCACTTTGCACCTAGCTGGATGCTGGATGTAGCTTACCTCTTCTTGCTTTGGCTTCTCAGCTAGACTTTAAAGGATCACTATTTCTGTCCCGCCTGGCAGTTTACCACACATTCAAAGCCAGGCAGCTTGTCACGCTTGTTAGCAGTCATCAGTCAAAGGGGGTGGAAATGTTGCTGTACTGTGCAATGCGAAATCAATCTCATACTCCACACCATTCAACAACTAATGTGGTAAAAGTTCTAGATGTGCTATAAGCAAACAGCCATATTTCCAAGTCGAAGGGGAGTGGTTCTCAGTTAAGTCCAGAGGGACACCCTTCAAATCAGTGGGTGTCAGCAAAGTAAACCAACAGCAGCATCTGATATTAATCCAGGAAATTAAACATGGTCATTGGCTCTTCAAGGTGGTCAGGGTCTGGGAATCCATTCCTCTCCCAGTGCAGGGAATGGATCATGGTCAGTTCTCTGGGTTCATTTCAGCCTCTCCAGGGATTTGCAGGGAGCTGTACAGATATTGGCCAGGGGTCTGGTCACTCACCATTTGGGGCAGTCCAGCTGTGATCAAGGGTCACAGTCAGTCCTGGGGCTCCATCTCTTGCAAGTTAAGATATGTGTGGTATTGGAGTCACTGCTGGAGGAGATCTGCTGAGGAATTTAACCAGGGGATTTGGGGTCAGGATGCTGGGATACAGAGGGGATTACAATACTAAATATATGGTGGGGAGATGAAAGAGCATGCGAGGGAAAGGAGTAATGCAGGAGGATGTGGGGTCATCAACCACAGGCAGCACCCTGGGTTCCACAGGATGACAGGGCGCTACTATATTTGGCATGTTTCCTTGATATGCCTTGGGATGGTGGTGGGAAGCAGGATGTGGTACAGTGGACAGATCATAAGGTCAGAACTGGAGATGTTCACTGACAATTGCACAATTCCCGACTCCTCAGAAACTGAAACTGTAAATGTCCAAATGTAACAAGACCTAGCTGAAAAGTGGCAAGTAACATTTGACCACACAGATGCCAGGCAATGTCCATCTCCAACAGGAAAAAATCTCATCATTATCCCTTGACATTTAATGGTGTTACCCTCACCGAATCCCCA